ACTCTGCTTTTATTATAGCTAGGAATCGCTGTACTGCTAGTATTCGAAGATCTAGCGCTTCCTTTATAAGAAGGAAATTTAATTACCTTAACTCCTCTCCCACTGACAAATGCTGCTGGTCCTTAGCCAAAAACCTCTCCAAAAATTTCTGTAACTCAAGCTGTCCCCCTCTCATTCGTTCTGATGGTTCTATAGATTGCTCTCCCACTGACAAAACCACTCATTTGGCTATTATTTTTCTGCCAATTCTTCTATAAATGATTTCAGCGCACCTGCTCCTCAATCTTTACCCCTCTCTAACCCTATGCCCTCCCTTTTCCTGTCTTCACACAAAGTTCGTAAGGTTCTTCGCTCACTAAAGATGAACAAGGCATCTGGTCCCGATGGTATCCCTGCAAGGTTCCTTAAGGAGTTTGCAGATGAACTGGCTCCCATGCTTTGCCGTCTTTTTTGCCTCATTCTGTCAACCAGTATCTATCCTTCATCTTGGAAGCATGCTCTAATTCAACCTGTTCCTAAGAAGGGTGACCGCTCTATTCCTTCAAACTATCGACCTATTGCCCTAACTTCCTCTATAGATAAAGTTTTCAAAACTTTGCTCAATTCTCACTTCTTGAAACGCCTTGAATCTAACTCGCATATCTCTGATCACCAGTACGGCTTCCACAAGGCAAGATATACTGGTGATCTCCTGTCCTATCTTACTCATGTATGGTCATCTTCTCTGAGGAACTGTGGGGAAGTTTTTGTTGTCGCCCTAGATATCTCTAAGGCTTTTGACTGAGTGTGGCACAAGGGTGTGTTGGCCAAGCTCCCTGCCCATGGCATTACCCCTTCTTTCTGTTCTATGATTTCCAGTTTTCTTACTGACCATTTTATATCTGTAGTTGTTGATGGCTTGATATCTAGCCCTTTCTCTGTTTCCAGTGGTGTTCCACAGGGCTCTGTTCTTTCACCTATTCTGTTCCTTCTCTTCATCAATAAACTTCTACAATCCCCATCTTTCTCTCTCCTTCATGCCTTTGTTGATGATTATACCCTTCACTTTTCCTCAGCCTTTTCTTCACAACCTTCATCTGTTACTCGTAATCAATCTCGTATCACTCTTTCTTCTACTCTTAACTTCGATTTGCAGAGAATATCTGGGTGGGGAACTCAAAATTTAGTTAAATTCAATGCCTCCAAGACACAGTTTCTGGCTATCTCACTATCTTCTTCTCTTCCTGATAACAATATTCTCTTCGAAACTAACGGGATTTATTCTCTCAATGCTATCAACATATTAGGAGATCATATAGCCTCTAACTTGTCTTGGAGGAATCACATAATCCAAATTTCTAAAGCTTCATAAAAAAAAAAAATGGAGTTTTGTTTCGTTTTCGTCATTACTTTTCCTCTTTGCAGTTACTTAAAATTTACAAAAGTCTTATCTTTCCCTGCTATATATATATATATATATATATATATATATATATATATATATATATATATATATATATATATATATATATATATATATTTATATACATATATATATATATATATATATATATATATATATATATATATATATATATATATATATATATATATATATATATATATATATATATATATATATATATATATATATATATATATATATATATATATATATATATATATATATATATATATATATATATATATATATATATATATATATATATATATATATATATATATATATATATATATATATATATATATATATATATATGTATATATATATATATATATATATATATATATATATATATATATATATATATATATATATATATATATATATATATATATATATATATATATATATATATATATATATATATATATATATATATATATATATATATATATATATATATATATATATATATATATATATATATATATATATATATATATATATATATATATATATATATATATATATATATATATATATATATATATATATATATATATATATATATATATATATATATATATATATATATTTAAACCCAGCCACTGAGAGGGGGAAGACAGCCTCAACTTGGTGCCGGTCTCAAGCCCGGGTAAATGGGAAGGGTTGGAGGTAGGAGGGGCATCTGGCAATAAAATTTTTGCCAAAACCAAAATATGGCCCGTACAGATAACGAAAATAGTCACCATACTTGGGCGCTCCCCATAGGCGACGCGTTGGTCCTTCATCTGATCCCTCTAGAAAGACAGCAAGGGCTACCCAGTCATGGGCGGGCTGGGTTAAAGAGGCAAGTTCGAGGGAGAGTGTCAGATGAGGTGCTGCGGGTGGGCACTCTTAATGTGGGGACGATGACTGGGAAGAGGCGAGAATTAGTGGACCTGATGGAGAGGAGGAGACTTGGAGTGCTGTGTGTGCAGGAGACCATGTGGAAAGGAAATAAGGCGAGAGAACTAGGTGAGGGTTGCAAATTGTTCTATTGTCGAGCCAATGAGGAAGGGAGGAATGGTGTAGGAATAATACTATCCAAAGACCTGAGGGAAAGCTTACTTGGTTTGAATAGGAAGAG